ATTTGTCTCCATTCACTCCTATCAAACACGCTCACGCATGCCTGCTGGAAGTCCAAGCCCCTCGCACACAAAACCTCCTTTACCCCCTCCCTCCAACCCTTCCTAGGCCGACCCCTACCCCGCCTTCCTTCCACTACAGACTGATACACTCTTGAAGTCATTCTGTTTCGCTCCATTCTCTCTACATGTCCGAACCACCTCAACAACCCTTCCTCAGCCCTCTGGACAACAGTTTTGGTAATCCCGCACCTCCTCCTAACTTCCAAACTACGAATTCTCTGCATTATATTCACACCACACATTGCCCTCAGACATGACATCTCCACTGCCTCCAGCCTTCTCCTCGCTGCAACATTCATCACCCACGCTTCACACCCATATAAGAGCGTTGGTAAAACTATACTCTCATACATTCCCCTCTTTGCCTCCAAGGACAAAGTTCTTTGTCTCCACAGACTCCTAAGTGCACCACTCACTCTTTTTCCCTCATCAATTCTATGATTCACCTCATCTTTCATAGACCCATCCGCTGACACGTCCACTCCCAAATATCTGAATACGTTCACCTCCTCCATACTCTCTCCCTCCAATCTGATATTCAATCTTTCATCACCTAATCTTTTTGTTATCCTCATAACCTTACTCTTTCCTGTATTCACCTTTAATTTTCTTCTTTTGCACACCCTACCAAATTCATCCACCAATCTCTGCAACTTCTCTTCAGAATCTCCCAAGAGCACAGTGTCATCAGCAAAGAGCAGCTGTGACAACTCCCACTTTGTGTGTGATTCTTTATCTTTTAACTCCACGCCTCTTGCCAAGACCCTCGCATTTACTTCTCTTACAACCCCATCTATAAATATATTAAACAACCACGGTGACATCACACATCCTTGTCTAAGGCCTACTTTTACTGGGAAAAAATTCCCCTCTTTCCTACATACTCTAACTTGAGCCTCACTATCCTCGTAAAAACTCTTCACTGCTTTCAGTAACCTACCTCAGGGAAACCGGCAGGCCGGACTTGAGTCCTGGAGATGGGAAGTACAGTGCCTGCACTCTGAAGGAGGGGTGTTAATGTTGCAGTTTAAAAACTGTAGTGTAAAGCACCCTTCTGGCAAGACAGTGATGGAGTGAATGATGGTGAAAGTTTTTCTTTTTCGGGCCACCCTGCCTTGGTGGGAATCGGCCGGTGTGATAATAAAAAAAAAAAAAAAAAAACCTCCTAATTTCCACACACCAAATTTTTCTGCATAATTTTTACACCACACATTGCCCTTAGACAGGACATCTCCACTGCCTCCAGCCGCCTCCTCGCTGCACCATTTACAACCCAAGCTTCACACCCATATAAGAGTGTTAGTACCACTATACTTTCATACATTCCCTTCTTTGCCTCCATAGATAACGTTTTGTCTCCACATATACCTCAACGCACCACTCACCTTTTTTCCCTCATCAATTCTATGATTAACCTCATCCTTCATAAATCCATCCGCTGATACGTCAACTCCCAAATGTCTGAAAACATTCACTTCTTCCATACTCCTCCCCAATTTGATATCCAATTTTTCTTTATTTAAATCATTTGATACTCTCATCACCTTACTCTTTCCTATGTTCACTTTCAACTTTCTACCCTTACACACACACCCAAATTCTTCCACTAACCTCTGCAATTTTTCTTTAGAATCACCCATAAACACAGTATCATCAGCAAAAAGTAACTGTGTCACTTCCCATTTTGTATTTGATTCCCCATAATTTAATCCCACCCCTCTCCTGAACACCCTAGCATTTACTACTTTTACAACCCCATCTAGAAATATATTAAACAGCCATGGTGGCATTACACATCCCTGTCTAAGACCTAGTTTTACTGGGAAGTAGTCTCCCTCTCTTCTACACACTCCTGTCTGAGCCTCACTGTCCTCATAAAAACTCTTTACAGCATTTAGTAACTTACCCACCTATTCCATATACAGTGGACCCCCGGTTAACGATATTTTTTCATTCCAGAAGTATGTTCAGGTGCCAGTACTGACCGAATTTGTTCCCATAAGGAATATTGTGAAGTAGATTAGTCCATTTCAGACCCCCAAACATACATGTACAAACACACTTACATAAATACACTTACATAATTGGTCGCATTGCGAGCTGATCGTTAAGCGGGAGCCCACTGTACTTGCAACATCTTCCACATTGCTCCCCTATCCATAAATGCAATAAAAACTTCCCTACCTTTATCTAAATACTGTTCACATATATGCTTCAATGTAAACACTTGATCTACACATCCCCTACCCACTCTGAAACCTCCTTGCTCATCCGCAATCCTACATTCTGTCTTGCCTCTTAATTCTTTCGATAATAACCCTACCGTACACTTTTCCTGGTATTTTTTATGCACAATGAATTTTTATTCACACCAAAAAAATGGAAGATTTACTGTCATGCAATATTGTAATAATTGTATAAATATTACCAAAACCAAATTAGTTTTGGTGATATTATTTATAAAATTATTACAATATTGTATGACAGTAAATCTTCCATTTTTTGGTGTGAATAAAAATTCATTGTGAACAAAAAATCAAAATGGGATTTATTTGTAAAGCCTGAAAACATAACTATTGAACAGAGGAAATGTTAGTGTCAGGAATGCCTGCACTGTTTATTCTGGACCCTATTTTGAAATGGGAAACAGTTGACTGGGGCATTTCTTGTGCTCAGTCGATAAAATAGAAGTAATACTAGCAAAATAGAAAAGAATTTGGTTGACTGGAATAATGTAAGTGGCCTAAAATGGGAGTCAGTTGGCAATATTGCAGATGTGTAAATATTGCTGACGCATCAAAATTCACGAGAGCGTAACTTCGTCAATTTTCCATTGAATTTCGTACTTTATTACCTTCAGAAAAAGGTTCTTATAATAAAAATAAAAAAAAAAATGAAAATTCTTGAACCCTGGCTGTCACTTGAGATTTGGCCTCTGAACCTTGAACAAACTGTGTGTAAATTTATTAATGCAATTATTTCAAGAAATATTAGTTACCACAAATTATTTATTTCATTTATGTTCAGATGATAGATTAAATTTAATTTGGCCTACTAAACAAGGATTACAAAGTGTAGGTGCAGTTCATAACCTCTTTCACTAGATGATGACAGTGTTCCCACTGACACACCACATAGGTCAATACACAATTCATAGCACCCTCAAGCTTGCTTAGTGGCAAATTTTGACTTAGACAAGAAAAATAAAAGGGGGGGGTCTGCAGTGGGTGTACACAGTCTGAAAAATCTTGATCTACACCATGCATGATGAGAATAACTAGCCTGTTTTTTTGGGGGGGGGAGGGGGGGATGATTCTCATGGTTTTATTGGCCATTTCTTGGTATTGATAGATTGACTAGAGGTGACTTGAAATGGACCTCAAAGTAGCAGGGATGGTTGGTTTTTTGGCAGTTTTTCCTGGAAATGGGTAAGGACCCTTCCTATCCCACCCAGTTTACTTTAGTTGTTGGGAGAGGCTAAACCTTGAACAAGCATTCCTTGTTATGTTTTGTGAGCCCAGAAATTGAGAAAAGCATCTTAATTTGTGTGATGAATTTAAAATGCACAAGTGTTGTACAGTAAGTCCTCAATTTAGACGTTGAGAATCTTCCATGTTGTGTATAATATTATATACATGTGCTATTATACACAATACAGAGGGTCCCCAATGTGTCCGTAAGGTTGAAGACTTCCTGTATTATGAATATTGTACACCATTCAGGAGGTCCCCCAATGTGTTTGTAAATCAAGGACTTGTTGTATAGGAAAGTGTAATTAAGTTTTGGTGGTTAAATGAGCAGTTTCTTTTCAGTGTTTAGTACAAAAGGCATACTCGCCCCCAAAAAAAAAATTGGGTCAGTTTTTTTTTTTTTTTTTTTTTTACAAATTCGCCTAAAATAGGCCTCGCCTTGGTAAAATAGTTGTGTAAATATTGCATCAGATTTTGCATTTTTGGTGTTATTACCTTTAGAAAAAGCTGAATGTTATTTTTATCTTATAAAAAATGGTGACACAAGAATAAAAGGACCCAATACAATGACGAACCATCATGGTATTGTGGTCCAAATCAGATTAAAACTTCATTAAGTTTGTCTCCTGTGTTCTTGTTATTTGTGTATGGTGACAAAGAAGGGGCTTTCAGATTTGGGGTTGTTGACAGGTAAAAAGTTAAAATGTCATTGAAACTATCCAGTTGGTCCTAGGGCTATTTTGACCATACAACTTCTGGGCTGTTGCAGCCTAACTGCTGGCTTGTAGTCATAACCAGTTACCTAGCCTTGACTAGTTGCAACTTGTCGTCTGTCTCTAGGGTCGTTCTTAGCCAGTTAGCTGGACCTAGGAGCCATTGTACTGCTTCAATTGTCACTTGTGCCATCGCAACCTTTCATCTGGCCTCAGCTGTTGCAGCCCTTAAACACAGTGCACTGCGTGATCTGCTGAGGGCTGCATCTCTTCTACAGATCTGACTTCAGTTAGTACCAGTACACATTGGCTAAAACAGTGTCAGTAAAATTCCAGCTTCAGCAGTGGAAAAACTATGATCTGCAGCACTAATTCTTTTGCAACATGTTCGTAAAATGAGTATGTACAGCTATTCATATTTCAGGAATTTAAACCTTGAAATGCATAAGATAAAAACTAGTGCACATAGTGTTAGACATTTGAAATTGTTAAAATAAAAAAAAGTACTGCTGTGTGTATTTACACTTACTACAAAAATACTTTTTTTTTTTTCCAACCTTTCACCATACAATTGCAAGTTTTCTTATATTTTGGGGTTTTGCCTCTTGCACTGGAATTTAAAAGCAGGACCTGCCACAGTTTAGTGGTTAGATTATTTAGTAAAGTCATTGACTTCTTTAATTAAAGCACTTATCTTTCTTTAAATAGACTTATAATCCATTGTTACCTCACTATAAAGTTAATTTAATTTTTGTAGGTTGTGATATTTGTGAAGTCTGTGCAGCGATGTATGGCATTGTCGCAGCTGTTAGTGGAACAGAACTTCCCAGCCATTGCTATACACCGTGCTATGACCCAGGAGGAGAGGCTTAGTCGTTACCAGCAGTTCAAAGATTTCCAGAAGGTAATTTGTTTTTATCCTTTTTCTACATAGGCCTGGTCTGGGACCAGGGGACAGGGGTGTTGAGCCCCAAATGCCTCCTTGAGGTATCATAATTTTTTTTTTTCCCCTCTAACCATATCCCACCAAGGCAGGGTGACCTAAAAAGAAAAATGAAAGCTTCTCTTTTTAAATTTAGTAATGTATACCGGAGAAGGGGTTACTAGCCCCTTCTCCCGGCATTTTAGTTGCCTCTTAACCCTTTGACTGTCGAGGTCGTATGTATACGTCTTACGAGGTACCGTGTTTGACGTATGTATGTATTGATACTCATAAATTCTAGCGGCTTCAAATCAAGCAGGAGAAAGTTGGTAGGCCCACATGTGAGAGAATGGGTCTGTGTGGTCAGTGTGCACCATATAAAAAAAAGTCCTGGAGCATGCAGGGCATAATGAGAAAAAAAACTCCGACCGTTTTCTTTAATTAAAATACCGACTTTGTGGTCTATTTTCATATAGTATTTATGGTTGTATTCTCGTTTTCTTGGTCTCATTTGACAGAATGGAAAGCATATTATAGAAATAGAGGTGATTTTGATTGATTTTACTATAAAAAGAACCTGGAAATGGAGCTCAAAATATGGGAAATGTTTGATTTTTGCCGATGTTCAAAAGTAAACAAATGATATCATTGTCCAATAAATGTCCAACTAGCCATTCTTATATGCAGTTATGAATGGGTTGATGTTATTTATACAATTATTACAGTATTGCAGTAGTCTGTATAACAGTAAATCTATTTTTTGTTTGAATAAAAATTCAAAATAGAAAGCAAGAGTAATATCAGAGGGGTCTGGAGACATGACTGATGAACAAAGAAAATGTTATTTTAGAGCCAGGAATGTCTGCATTGTTCATTCTGGACCTTATTTTGAAATGGTCATAATTTTTTAATTTTTGTGAAATTGGCCAAATTGCAAATTTCTGATCATGTTATTGGGTAGTTAAAATTGGTAAATGGGCAGTTTCTTGTACTCAATCGATAGAAAAAATGGAGTTCTAAAGAAATAGCTATGAGTTTGGTCAACTGGAACAAGGGAATTAGCTGAAAATAGGGCTCAAAGTGAGTGAAATCGCCGATTTGTAAACATCGCCGAGGTCGCTAACTTTGCGAGAGCGGAATTCCGTCGGTTTTCCATCGAATTTCATGTTTTTGGCGTCGTTACAATCGGGAAAAGATTTTTTTTTTTTTTTTTTTTTTGTTTTTTTTTTTTTTTTTTGCGCGACACCAGGAGACACTTCAGGGTTAGGGGTTGCGACAGTCAAGGGGTTAATGACACTCGTGGCTTACGAAGGAAGAATTCTGTTCTACTTTCCCCCTTGGAGAAAAAAAAGATTCCGCCAGGAGTTGAACCCAAGTCTGCTGATTTAGAGGCAGCCGTGCCGACTACTGCACCAGAGTCGTATCATAAAATTATTCCTTTTAATTGATTCCCCCCCCCCCCAACAAGTTGGCCGTCTCCCACCGAGGCAGGGTGACCCAAAAAGAAAGAAAATCCCCAAAAAGAAAATACTTTCATCGTCATTCAACACTTTCACCTCACTCACACATAATCACTGTTTTTGCAGAGGTGCTCAGAACACAACAGTTTAGAAGCATATACGTATAAAGATACACAACATATCCCTCCAAACTGCTAATATCCCAAAACCCCTCCTTTAGAGTGCAGGCATTGTACTTCCCATTTCCAGGACTCAAGTCCGGCTATATAAAAATAACCGGTTTCCCTGAATCCCTTCACTAAATATTGCCCTGCTCACACTCCAACAGATCGTCAGGTCCCAAATACCATTCGTCTCCATTCACTCCTATCGAACACGCTTATGCACGCCTGCTGGAAGTCCAAGCCCCTCGCCCACAAAACCTCCCTTACCCCTTCCTTCCAACCTTTTCGAGGACGACCCCTACCCTGCCTTCCTTCTACAGATTTAAATGCTCTCCATTCTCCATTCTCTCTAAATGACCAAACCACCTCAACAACCCTCTTGAGCCCTCTGACTAATACTTTTATTAACTCCACACCTTCTAATTTCCACACTCCAAATTTTCTGCATAATATTTACACCACACATTGCCCTTAGACAGGACATCTCCACTGCCTCCAACCGCCTCCTCGCTGCTGCATTCACATCCCAAGCTTCACACCCATATAAGAGTGTTGGTACTACTATACTTTCATACATTTCCTTCTTTGCCTCTATATATATAATGTTTTTTGACTCCACATATACCTCAATGCACCACTCACCTTTTTTCCTTATCAATTCTATGATTAACCTCATCCTTCATAAATCCATCCACAGACACGTCAACTCCCAAGTATCTGAAAACATTCACTTCTTCCATACTCCTCCTCCCCAATTTGGTATCCAATTTTTCTTTATCTAAATCATTTGATACCCTCATCACCTTATTCTTTTCTATGTTCACTTTCAACTTTCTACCTTTACACACACTCCCAAACTCATCCACTAACCTTTGCAATTTTTTTAGAATCTCCCATAAGCACAGTATCATCAGCAAAAAGTAACTGTGTCAATTCCCATTTTGTATTTGATTCCCCATAATTTAATCCCACCTCTCTCCTGAACACCCTAGCATTTACTTCTTTTACAACCCCATCTATAAATATATTAAACAACCATCGTGACATTACACATCCCTGTCTAAGACTTACTTTTACCGGGAAGTAGTCTCCCTCTCTTCTACACACCCTAACCTGAGCCTCACTACCCTCATAAAAACTCTTTACAGCATTTAGTATATTACCACCTATTCTATATACTTGCAACATCTGCCACATTGCTCCCATATCCACTCTATCATATGCCTTTTCTAAATCCATATATGCAATAAAAACTTCCCTACCTTTATCTAAATACTGTTCACATATATGCTTCAATGTAAACACTTGATCTACACATCCCCTACCCACTCTGAAACCTCCTTGCTCATCTGCAATCCAACATTCTGTCTTACCTCTTAATTCTTTCAATAATAACCCTACCGTACGCTTTTCCTGGTATACTCAATAAACTTATTCCTCTATAATTTTTACAATCTCTTGTCCCCCTTCCCTTTATATAAAGGGACTATACATGCTCTCTGCCAATCCCTAGGTACCTTTCCCTTTTAATTGATACTGGTATTATTTTGCTTCAGTGTGCAAAGTGCAGTGATGTTCATTGTATATTGGTATATGGTATTGTATATATTTAGTATTGTATGTATTGGTATATTTTTGAAAAACTGAAGTACTGACTGTAAAATATAACTTGCATAGTATTGTTAACTTTAAAAGAGAATTTCTACATGTCCCAGTAATTCATTTAACTTTAATCTACTATGGACCATTGCAGCGTATTCTTGTAGCCACAAATCTCTTTGGCCGAGGAATGGACATTGAAAGAGTTAACATTGTCTTCAATTATGATATGCCAGAAGACAGCGATACATATCTTCACAGAGTGGCAAGAGCTGGAAGATTTGGTACCAAA